GAGTGGTAGTTCAGGGTGACACTCACAGAGTGGTAGTTCAAGGTGACATTCAGAGTGGTAGTTCAGGGTGACACTCAGAGAGTGGTAGTCCAAAGTGACACTCAGAGAGTGGTAGCTCAAGGTGACACTCAGTGATAATTCAAGGTGACACTCAGAGTGGTAGTTCAGGGTGACACTCACAGAGTGGTAGTTCAAGGTGACATTCAGAGTGGTAGTTCAAGGTGACACTCAGAGAGTGGTAGTTCAAGGTGACACTCAGAGAGTGGTAGTTCAAGGTGACACTCAGAGAGGGCAGCCAGAATTAGGGCATTACAGTTCTGAAGGATTATTTTCTTTATAGTCACCAGGAAACGCTAAACCCGTAATGGCACCCAAGGAATAAGAGTATGGGGAATTAGGTTTGATCTGAGGAAGATGGTAGCTTTAATTCCTCTGATCAAGAGCCCTTGATGGATTATTATTTACATGGGAGAAACGCTAAACTCCCTTCTGGTTCAAGAACTCTGGAGGAGCCTGGTGGTTCCCATTAGTGTACAAGTACAGTGGTACTCAGTAAAGGTACACCCCCGTACACTTATTTCTGATATCCAAATCAAGGTAATAATACTATAGAAGTCTGGAAGAATATTCTTCTACCGTTTTTCCCAGGACTCACTGCAACATTACAACCTCGCCACTTTATTCCTTAAAAACTAACACACTTTAAGATTTAAATTATTTTAATCAGGTGGAAGCGCTTAACCCCTAAGGATCATATAACGCCTGGGGAATGGGAGACATTAAGGTTCGATCCAAGGTACGGGAAAATAAGTCCAGTTCCTTGGATCAAAATCCTCCGCCGGCATCTAGGCATCAATCTACAACAAAATAATCCAAGTAAATATAAAAGGGTAATTTTAAATAGAACCAAATAGAAGTAAAAGAGAACAGATTATAACTGAAAATTACATTACAACTGAGCGACTAATAATTTATATTCAAGGGAAATGTTGACATATAAACTTGACATCGGGATGCACTTAGTAAATTTACACACAAACGCACACACACACAAACACAATAATACGCAGACTTTATAAATATATACTGACATCCCTGTGGATCATTTACTCCTTTAATTTATATCCTTTTATCTGTTTCCGATTTCCGGTTCTCGAACAGTCCTTTTATATCTTTCCTATCAAGTTCAGTTACTATTTTGTACGCCATAATACTGTCTCCCGTGATCCTTGTATTTTCTAATGTTATCGGGTTCAGTATTTATTTATAATTCCGTTCCCTTAGCCTCGGGTCTAGTCTCTTTCCAAACAGCTGCTATTTCTAAGGTGTTTGGACATGCTTGATCAGGTGTGGGCGTCATGATGGTACTGCATACGTCAATGATGGGCGTGATGTATGTATATGTATATGTGTGTGTGTGTGGTATAATAAATTCCGAGAAAGACAGTCATATTTTATTGTTGATCTCTCACATTGTCCAGCTATCTATAATACAAACAGTGCGCTGGTAGTAAGATACAGTAGCCTATAATTATGAAATCACATAATGATGAATCAGAAAATTATAAATTAAAATAATCTTAAATCTATACACCTATGATTGCCTCTAATATCGTGTAAATTCTGATTACCCGGTCTATAATTAATAATGGTCCACTTACTACAAAAAACATCTGAATTAAATTTATGCATTTCTTGAAGTACCTAGAATAAATGTTTCCTTATTTACTATTCAAAGTACTTGCTAGAACTGCCTACACTGGATATTATTATTAATGAACCCTCGATTTAACGGACATTGGAAATATGCGGCGAAATCTGTTGGTCAATCTATTCTGAGATAATGGACAAAGTCAGTTGGTTGCAACATTGTCTGCTAGTGTTACAACATTGTCTGCTAGTGTTACAACATTGTCTGCTAGTGTTACAATATTGTCTTGTAGTGAACGATAATGGTAAAATAATCTCATTTCCATCCACCACAACGACCAATACCGGCCACCTGCGCCTCCTCTCTAATAGTACGTTATATCGAGGGTTTTCTTATTAATATGCAATGGTGAGTTACATGTCTGGACCATGAATTTACCACTTGTCTTGGGAATTCCTGCAAGATGCCTTTTGATCCATTTATTTTAAATAAATTAATTTAGTAATTATACATATACTCCACAAATTACACATATTAACGTTGAATGATGATGTTGATGCAGTTGTAAGAAAGTACTTAAGAGAACCGTTTGTCTGTTTCCACTGTTTATCCTGCATGCACATCGTGTTTTATATATAAATTATATTATATATTATAATATATATAATTTTATATATATATATATATATATATATGTCGTGCCCGAATAGGTAAAATTGGTCAATTTGCATGAACTCATTTGAATTTTAGTCCTTTCAAAACTTTTCTCTTATACATTTAAAGGTATATTTTTTCATTTATGTTAATATAAAAATTAATAATTTTGTACGAAAAGAACCTCAGAAAACTTACCTAACCTTATTATAACAAGCGCAATTTAATTTAGCCTAATCCAACTAAATATATTTTAGATAAGTACAATAGCCTAATAATAAACTAACACAATGAAATATATTTTTTTCGTTAAGTTTACAATGATTTTTGCGAAATTATTGCATAGACAAATTTTAGCTTGCCTTATTCGGCAAGAAGAGCGTTGCTATTTAAGCCAAAATTGCAACTTTTACCTATTCGGCACGACATTTTTAAATTTTAATATATATATATATATATAATGTATATATATAATATTATATTATATATATATATATATAATATATATATATATAAATATATATATAAAATATATATTATATATATATATTTTAATATATATATATTATATATTAATAGATGGGGAGATGGAGGTATTGGGAAGATGGGGGAGAATATTTTGAGGAACTTTAAATGTTAAGGAAGAAACAGAAAGGGAGTAATTTCATGCACTGGTCAGGGAGGTATACCATCTTTTAGGAGTGAAGAAGAGCAGAATGTAAGTGTGGGGGGGGTACGTGAGGCATTACGTAAAATGAAAGGGGGTTTAAAACAGCTGGAATGATGGGATCATGACAGAAAAAGTTAAAAGCAGGGGGGGATATTTGTGTTGGAGTGGTTGGTACTTTTGTTTAATAAAAAGTATGAAAGAGGGGAAGGTACCTAGGGATTGGCAGAGAGCATGTATAGTCCCTTTATATAAAGGGAAAGGGGGCAAAAGAGACTGTAAAAAATTATAGAGGAATAAGCTTAACTGAGTATACCAGGAAAAGTGTACGGTAGGGTTATAATTGGAAAAGAATTAGAGGTAAGACAGAATGTAGGATTGCGGGTGAGCAAGGAGGTTTTAGAGTGGGTAGGGGATGGGGTAGATCAGGTGTTTACATTGAAGCATATATGTGAACAGTATTTAGATAAAGATAGGGAAGTTTTATTGCATTTATGGATTTAGAAAAGGCATATGATAGATTTGGATAGAGGAGCAATGTGGCAGATGTTGCAAGTATATGGAATAGGTGGTAAGTTATTAAATGCTGTAAAGAGTTTTTATGAGGATAGTGAGGCTCAGGTTAGGGTGTGTAGAAGAGAGGAGACTACTTCCCGGTAAAAGTAGGGCTTAGACAGGGGTGTGTAATGTCACCATGGTTGTTTAATATATTTATAGATGGGGTTGTAAAGGAAGTAAATGCTAGGGTGTTTGGGAGAGGGGTGGGATTAAATTATGGGAATCAAATTCAAAATGGGAATTGACACAGTAAATTTTTGCTGATGATACTGTGCTTAGGGAGATTCTAAAGAAAAATTGCAAAGGTTAGTGGATTATTTGGAATGGTTGTAAAGGTAGAAAGTTGAAAGTGAACATAGAAAGAGTAAGGTGATGAGGGTGTCAAATGATTTAGATAAAGATAAATTGGATATCAAATTGGGGAGGAGGAGTATGGAAGAAGTGAATGTTTTCAGATACTTGGGAGTTGACGTGTCGGCGGATGGATTATGAAGGATGAGGTTAATCATAGAATTGATGAGGGAAAAAGGTTTAGTGGTGCGTTGAGGTATATGTGGAGTCAAAAAACGTTATCTATGGAGGCAAAGAAGGGAATGTATGAAAGTATAGTAGTACCAACACTCTTATATGGGTGTGAAGCTTGGGTGGGAAAAAGCAGCAGGAGGAGACGGTTGGAGGCAGCGGAGATGTCCTGTTTAAGGGCAATGTGTGGTGTAAATATATGCAGAAAATTCGGAGTGTGGAAATTAGGAGAAGGTGTGGAGGTTAATAAAAGTATTAGTCAGAGGGCAGAAGAGGGGTTGTTGAGGTGGTTTGGTCATTTAGAGAGAATGGATCAACAGTAGAATGACATGGAAAGCATATAAATCTTTTAGGGGAAGGAAGGCGGGGTGGGGTCGTCCCCGAAAGGGTTGGAGGGAAAAGGGGGGAAAAAGGTTTTTTTGGGTAAGGGGGTTGGACTTCCAGCAAGCGTGCGTGAGGGTTGATAGGAGTGAAGGAACGAATGGGAAAATTGGGACCTGACGATCTGTTGGATGTGAGCAGGGTAATATTTAGGAAGGGATTCAGGGAAACCCGGGTTTTTTTTTCATAAGTTGGACTGGTCCCGGGAAAAGGGGAATACAATGCCTGCCTTTAAAGGGGGGGTTTGGGGATATTGGGAGTTTGGGGGATAGTTTTGTATTTTATGTTTATGCTTTAGATGTTGTATTCGAGCACCTCTGCAAAAAAAAGTGAAAATGTCAGTGTGGTGAAAGTGTTGAATGATGATGAAAGTATTTTTTTTTGGGGTTTTTTTTTCTTTTTTGGGTCCCCTGCCTCGGGGGAGGGGCCCCAAAATTGTTTAAAAAAAAAAAAAAAAAAAAAAAAAAAAAAAAAAAAAAATATATTATCTAATATATATATTATATATATATATTATATATATATATATATATATATAATGTATATATATATATACATCTACTCGGCACTGCAACTTAGTAAATTACTTCACATCTTAGCTAGCACAAGTTTACCAAATTCCAAACTCTAAACATGTATTTCAAACTGTGTTAGTCAGGTCGAATACTTGAAATTTACAGTTTGATGGCATCTTGTACAATTGATCGTATATCTGCGGTCCGCATAAAAATATATTTATCTCTGTTAAGGTTTACCAGCAAATAGGTAATTCGTTTATTATATTTAGTGTGAATAATAAGCACAAAGGATTTGTACTGCCTATAAGTATTAATTAAAAGTGAGGTCTGTAAAAGAGTACTTCCCTAAGTACTAACCATCTCTTGCACTTGGTCCATCAGATATAAAGTTAGCTTCAATGAAAGTCATTTCAAAATTCACGGCAAAATATGAAAAGTAGAGATGATTTGTTCGTCATAGATGATAATGTCAACACTATGAAGGGTAACTGAAACATAATGTATATTACTCTGCGCTTCTAGTCAGGTCGTTAAGGATAGTAATCCTTCCACAACTATGACGATTACAAAGTCAGGAGAAATATGAAATAACAAAAATTACTTTGATGTAAAGTTTTTATCTGACAGTTTTTAATACACAAACAAGAGCCGAAGTTACTACTCTCGGTATCCTAGGTCTTAAACCGATTTATTGTTTCATTTTTACTAGGTATATATGAACCAAGATGTGCATATATAGTGTATATATACCCAGAGTTTACTTTAATCCCTAGTTTAGGATTTAAAATATCCTTGACTAGCGATATAAAGGTGACATGAAGCCTTTAATGGCTCTCTTGTAGTCGATAGGATTAAAACCTAATAGGCAAACCAAGAATCTGTCAGCGTATATATGCTGAGTCTTCTTTATACTCTATCTTAGGAATTAAAGTATTCTTAACTTGTGTACAGAAGATACGCAGCCTTAAAGACCACTGCATATCCGTTACACTTTAAAATCAATAAACCAGTTCTTTTTATCGTGGTAAGGTTACTCGTTCTTAAACACTGAGAAAACTACGGAAACTATTTTTTTCAATTATTTATTAGGTTTAAAGCCTATCGACTGCACGGGGGTCACTATGGCTCCTGTTCACTTGTATATTAATATCAAGAACATCTTAACTCATAAAAAATGGATAAAAATAAACTGTGTTATGCACCAAGTATGTTTGTTGTTCAGCAGGTTGTGAAACATAAAAAGTAAGCATATGACTCAGAGTTGTAGTGGATGATGACCAAGTTACTTCAGTACACCACCCATTAAACTGACAACACTTACCTGGTGTAGACCTGTCTACTACACATGGCGAGTCGCGCCTTTTGTTTAGGCTAGGAATTACCATATTTGCATTAAAATTATACAATAAAATTTGCGGTGTTTAGCGAAATCCTTAAGTTAAATAGCAATAAATTTTCGTGTGATAAATATTTTGACGCATCTAATACTCAAGTGCGTCTTACAGTCAATAATTATCTTTTTCCACGTGGAATAACTGCAGCTTTCGTTATATAAACGTTTACGAATTAATAGTCTTAACAAGTCCTACATGATATGGTGTTAATATATAAAATTTAGTGAAGATTCATTTATTCGTATACATATGGAATACCATTTGCTAACTGACAATATATATTAGATACTCATACAGTTTGCTCAATAAAACGTGGGTTTGAGTCAGTCTTCAATGAGTCAAAGAATGTGAGGAATTGTTATATTAGCTACCAGCAATTTTAACTTAATCGTTGGCGCTAGTTAAGACAGGTACCAGGCCCACTTGTGTACTGCTACCGGTGGTATGTGAGGTGTACTGCTACTGGTGGTATGTAAGGTGTTAGCACCACCTGTGTACTGCTACTAGTGGTATGTGAGTGGTTAGCATCACTTGTGTACTATCACTAGTGGTATGTGAGGTGTTAGCACCACCTGTGCACTGCCACTAGTGGTATGTGAGGTGTTAGTATCACGTGTGTACTGCAACTGGTGGTATGTGAGGTGTTAGCATCACTTGTGTACTGCTGTTAGTGGTATGTGAGGTATTTGCACCACTGGTGTACTGCTGTTAGTGGTATGTGAGGTGTTAGTACAAATTGTGTACTGCTGTTAGTTGTATGTGAGGTGTTAGTACAAATTGTGTACTGCTGCTAGTGGTATGTGAGGTGTTAGCACCAATTGTGTACTGCTGTTAGTGGTATGTGAGGTGTTAGCACCACTGGTGTACTGCCGTTAGTGGTATGTGAGGTGTTAGCACCACTGGTGTACTGCTGTTAGTGGTATGTGAGGTGTTAGCACCACTGATGTACTGCTGTTAGTTGTATGTGAGGTGTTAGCACCACTGGTGTACTGCTGTAAGTAGTATGTGAGGTGTTAGCACCACTGGTATACTGCTGTTAGTGGTATGTGAGGTGTTAGCACCAGTGGTGTACCGCTGTTGGTGGTATGTGAGGTGTTAGCACCAGTGGTGTACTGCTGCTAGTGGTATGTGAGCTGTTAACACCAGTGGTGTAATGCTGTTAATGGTGTGTGAGGTGTTAGCACCACTGGTATACTGTTGTTAGTGGTATGTGAGGTGTTAGCACCACTGGTGTAATGCTGTTAATGGTATGTGAGGTGTTAGCACCACTGGTATACTGTTGTTAGTGGTATGTGAGGTGTTAGCACCACTGGTGTAATGCTGTTAATGGTATGTGAGGTGTTAGCACCACTGGTGTAATGCTGTTAATGGTATGTGAGGTGTTAGCACCACTGGTGTACTACCGTTAGTAGTACATACGGTGATAGAGCCACTTGTGTGCTGCCGTCAGTGGTATATGAGGTGTTAACGTCAGTTTTCGGTCACTGTACACTGCTAATGCAAGCAGACTTATATATACATATTAATAAATGATTATAAGTTTATAAAACGAGGGAAAAACATGTTCTCCTGTATCAATTAAAACGTTATCTTTCTTTGAAATTACTCGTTTTTTTTTTTTTTTGTTGTTGATTTCACGGAAATTTTGTTGGTGTAATGTTGGGAAGAAGTCAACAAAGGCCATAATATGACCACCACAGCAGCACCATCACCTCTTTATTACAAGAGCACCACGTCATCACCATCACCATCACCTCGTCACTACAGCATCACCACATCATCAACATTACCTCGTCACCACAGTAGCACACATCACCTCGTCACTACAGCAGCACCACATCACAACCGTTTCACACAACAAGTAGTGTCACATAACTGTTTATTGGGTGATTTATTGGTCAAAGACCGATCACTGGTCTTTGCAACTAAAAACTCTAAAATTACACATAAAAAGTCAATAAATATTGCAAATTCGTACGTAGGTATTACTCTGCAGGAGTGTTAGATTTCAGTACATTGTTTTATATTACGGGGTCAGTTTTATTATAAATACAAGAGTTACAGAGAACTGCGTTGATTCAAGCGCTGTCCTCGGCAGCAGGTGACCGCAGCCGCAGATCAGGCCGTAGGTCCAGGTTGAGTCGTAAATCTGGCCTCCCTAAGAGGTCATGGCGGAGTTGGTATTCCGGCAGGTGGTCCCGGACGCGTGCGAGGTCAGAGTCACGCAGGTCAGCAGGGTCTGGGGAAGAGGAGTGGTGGTAGTGGCGGTGGAGGGGCAGCGGAGGAAGCACGGGCAGCAAGGGAGGCAGCAGGTGAGGGTAGGAGAGAGGAAGAAGAGGAGGGGCGAACCGGGATTCCCCATACAAGACAGGCCGGGGCAGGCCAGCACCCAAATAGGAACTTTGGTGGGCGGGTGGCGGCACTCCGCTACTGGTTAGGGGTGTAAAGGCAGACTTGGCGCTCCCAAGACTGGGTTTGGGCGGTGAAAGTGAGCGGGGCGGGTGTTCTGCTGGGCGGGGTACTGTGATGCCGGCAGTGGGGCGGCGCAGTGCCTCACCCACTGAGAGAAAGTGCTCGATGGCACGTAAGAGATCCCCGCCGCATCCTGTCAACACCAGCTCCAGTACCCCGCGACGCTCGCTGGGGAAGATACGCATCAGAATATCTATGCCATCCAAGCTTGTTGGGTCTTCCTTCCTGGCTTCTAGCGGGCTCTGGCATACCATGGATGTGTCCCTGCTGGGCTGTGCCTCTCCAGGATTCTCACCGGTACTCTGGCTTTCCGTGGTTGGTGGTCGAGGCTGCCCCTGGGAGGCTGTTGGCACTGGCGGCACCTCCTGCTGGGACTCACTACTGGACTGTGAAGAGCCACTCTGGGAAGTGATGAGAGGCGAGGTGTGGGTTGACATATGAGGCGAGGTGTGGACAGTAATGTGAGGTGAGGAATGTGAGGACACGCGGGGCGGGGTGTGCGAGGGGTCGTCCTCAATGGCTGTCACACCAGACGTAGAGGTTGGAGACATAGCCGGTGAAGTAACCACTGTGCCTGGAGATGCTACGCTCACCTCACTCCGAGATTCGTCCTCATGACCAACCTCACCATCTGCAGGGAAGATAAAATAATGTAAGCAATGAGCCGCTACTAAGTGGTCAGCCTAAGTATGTAAACACTGGTAACAAATAACTCATTTTACCTCTCGGTGAAAACACAGTGCTAGACCAACAACAAATAATCAATGAAAAATAAAATAAAATACCACTAGTGGCCAAGATTATATATATTATATTATATATATTATATATATATATATATATTTAAAAAATATATATATATATATATATATATATATCTCGTGCCGAATAGGTAAAACTTGATATTTTGACTTAAATAGCTATAATTTTCTTGCCGAATAAGGCAAGCGAAAATTTGTGTATGCAATAATTTTGCAAAAATCATTCCGAACCTAATGAAAAAAATATATATTTTATTGTGTTTGTTTATTATTTAATTATTGTAAACTTATCTAAAATATATTTAGTTGGATTAGGCTAAATTAAATTGAGCTTGTTAGGTAAGTTTTCTAAGGTTCTTTTTGTACAAAACTAATTTTTACATTACCATACATGAAATAAATATATCTTTAAACGTATAAGAGAAATTTTTTAGAAAGGACTCAATTTTAAACGAAGTTCTTGTAATTGACCAATTATATATAATATATATATAATATAATTATTTTATATATATATATATTATATATTATATATATATATATATATATATTATATATATATTATATATATATTATAAATATATATTAACACTTCGGCCGTCTCCCACCGAGGCAGGGTGACCCAAAAAGAAAATACTTTCATCATCATTCAACACTTTCACCTCACTCACACATAATCACTGTTTTTGCAGAGGTGCCCAGAATACAACAGTTTAGAAGTATATACGTATAAAAATACACAATATGTCCCTCCAAACTGCCAATATCTCAAACCCCTCCTTTAGAATGCAGGTATTGTACTTCCCATTTCCAAGACTCAAGTCCGGTTATATAAAATAACCGGTTTCCCTGAATCCCTTCACTAAATATTACCCTGCTCACACTCCAACAGCTCGTCAGGTCCCAAATACCATTTGTCTCCATTCACTCCTATCTAACACGCTCACGCACGCTTGCTGGAAGTCCAAACCTCTCTCCAACAACACCTCCTCTACCCCCTCCCTCCAACCTTTTCGAGGACGACCCCTACCCCGCCTTCCTTCCCCTACAAATTTATACCCTTTCCATGTCATTCTACTTTGATCCATTCTCTCTAAATGACCAAACCACCTCAACATACCCTCTTCAGCCCTCTGACTAATACTTTTATTAGCTCCACACCTTCTCCTAATTTACACACTCCGAATTTTCTGCATAATATTTACACCACACATTGCCCTTAGACAGGACATCTCCACTGCCTCCAACCGCCTCCTCGTTGCAGCATTTACATCCCAAGCTTCACACCCATATAAGAGTGTTGGTACTACTATACTTTCATACATTCCCTTCTTTGCCTCCATAGATAACATTTTTTGCCTCCACATATACCTCAATGCACCACTCACCTTTTTTTCTTAATCAGTTCTATGAATAACCTCATCCTTCATAAATCCATCCGCTGACACGTCAACTCCCAAATATATGAAAACATTCACTTCTTCCTTGCTCCTCCTCCCCAATTTGATATCCAATTTTTCTTTATCTAAATCATTTGATACTCTCATCACCTTACTCTTTTCTATGTTCACTTTCAACTTTCTACCTTTACACACGCTCCCAAATTCGTCCACTAACCTTTGCAGTTTTTCTTTAGATTCTCCCATAAGCACAGTATCATCAGCAAAAAGTAACTGTGTCACTTCCCATTTTGTATTTAATTCCCCATAATTTAATCCCACCCCTCTCCCGAACACCCTAACATTTACTTCTTTTACAACCCCATCTATAAATATATTAAACAACAATGGTGACATTACACATCCCTGTCTAAGACCTGCTTTTACCGGGAAATAGTCTCCCTCTCTTCTACACACCCTAACCTGAGCCTCACTATCCTCATAAAAACTCTTTACAGCATTTAGTAACTTACCGTCTATTCCATATACTTGCAACATCTGCCACACTGCTTCCCTATCCACTCTATCACATGCCTTTTTTAAATCCATAAATGCAATAAAAACTTCCCTACCTTTATCTAAATACTGTTCACATATATGCTTCAATGTAAACACTTGAGCTACACATCCCGTACCCACTCTAAAACCTCCTTGCTTATCCGCAATTCTACATTCTGTCTTACCTCTAATTCTTACAATAATAACCCTACCGTAAACTTTTCCTGGTATAGTCACTAAATTTATTCCTCTATAATTTTTACAATCTCTTTTGTCCCCCTTCCCTTTATATAAAGGGACTATACACGATCTCCGCCAATCCCTAGGTACCTTCCCCTCTTTCATACATTTATTAAACAAAAATACCAACCATTCCAACACTATGTCCCCCTCTGCTTTTAACATTTCTGTCATGATCCCGTCAGTTCCAGCTGCTTTACCCCCTTTCATTCTATGTAATGCCTCACGCACCTCCCCCACACTCACATCCTGCTCTCCTCCACCCCTAAAAGATGGTATACCTCCCTGGCCAGTGTATAAAATTACTGCCTCCCTTTCTTCATCCACATTTAAAAGCTCCTCAAAATATTCTCGCCATCTACCCAAAACCTCCATCTCCCCATCTTCTAACTCCCTCTCTGTTTTAACTGACAAATCCATTTGTTCCCTGATTTTTTAATCGTTTAAAATCATTTT